TGATGACTTTAGGCTGAAGTAAGTTCCACGATTTTATATCAGTTCTCTTTCCTGCTCCTCTTACTTAGGAGAGCTTCTAGTTACCGGCATCAGCGCCGGGAAGTGAACATTTTCCAGCTTAGAGTTCAGTGAACATTTCAAAACCACTGTGGGAGTTCCTGATTCCAGCATTCACACCGACCTGTTGCATCTCCATGATGACAAAAGACACCCTCTTGTACAGGTTTGAGAATGAGAACCTGCTCAAGCAGAGCGTGGAGAGCGACATCATGGGGCTGCTCCGTGTCCGGGATGACCTGACTCTGACCAAAGCTGACCTGGAGGCCCAGATCGAGAGCGTGAACGAGGAGCTCATTTTCCTTAAGAAGAACCATGAGGAGGTGAGAGCAGCTGAGCACTGCCAGGGGAGAGGGGGTGTTAAGTGGAAAACATAAAAGGCCTCACTAGGAAGCATTTCCGTCCTTCCTGGATAACCCGGCACTGAGGGACATCCGAGCTGTCAGGGATGAAAGGCTGAACGCTCTTCCATTCCAGGAATGGAAACCTCCATTCCAGGTTTTCTCAAATAATAATGTATAGTTTATTAGTTGCTACCCCAAAAAGTACACACACGGGAGCCATGACTTCTACCCTCATTCCACAGATCCAGTCCCGAGCAAATCATCTTTTTATAAGACATTTACCTACGGTACGGCATTTATTGCTACAAAATAGTAAACAGTATTTACAAGGTGATTAAGTTGTCTTGCCCCGAGGTGCTATTTTAGGGATTACAGCTCTGTGTGTCGATTTTTGAGCCTGGTTCCAACACCCAGGAGTGAGGAGAGCTCCTCTTTTCCTGCAGGACTGCAACCGGCTGCGCAAAGAGGTGAGCGGCTCCGTGAACGTGGCCGTGGATGCTGCTCCAGCCACCGACTTGGCAGCTATTATGGAAAACATGAGAAAGCAGTACGAAGAAATGGCAGAAAAGAACCGCCAGGAAGCCAAGGAGCATTTTGAAAAGCAGGTAAGGTCAGCTGCTTGGGCGTCGGCAGCAGCCTCGGTCGTGCCCGGCCGCGGTTCACGGTCCCTCCGTTCCTCGTTCCAGACGGCAGAACTGAACCAGGAAGTCGCCGTCAACGTTGAGCAGCTCCAAGTCCAGAGGAAGGAGATCACGGAACGGAGGCAGATCTTCCAGAGCCTGGAGCTGGAATTGCAGTCCCAGCTGAACATGGTAAATAACAGAGAGCACTGAAATAAGGACTGCGGGTAGCAGAGAGTTAACACGGATAAATATAGAAACGAGGGGCTTTGCAATCAAAAGGTTCTTTCAGCACAAAAATGTGTCCTCTGAATGAAACGCCTCTGCTCTTCCCATCGGCTGCAGAGACAGACCCTGGAGGCCTCGGTGGCTGAGACAGAAGCACGGTACAGCTACCAGCTCTCCCAGATCCAGGCCACCATCGCCAGCCTGGAGGCCCAGCTGAGGCAGCTCCGAGCCGACATGGAGGCTCAGAACAGCGATTACAGCATCCTGCTGGACATCAAGACTCGCTTGGAGATGGAGATCGCCACGTACCGCCGGCTGCTGGAGGGAGAGGAGAGCGGGTGAGCACATACGCAGGGCCTCGCGTGCTGGGGTTTCTGCAAATCTGCCACTCTCCGGCTGCTTTGGGGTGGGGGGAGCCCACTGCCCTGCTCTGAGCCCCAAATCACAGCAGGCTGCAGTTCAGGTTGGGTTATGGAGCTGCTGTGAGTTTTGAGGTGGGTAAGTGGGTAGATGTTCACACACCAGGAGCGCCCGTAATTCGGTTCTGGATGGACCTGTCCATGCGGGGCAAGCAGGCAGTGGATCTTCCCCCCAGGTCCTGCCTGTTCAGCTCTTCTGGCTCAGGAACTAGACTGGGCATGAGCTGAAGTCCTGGCGCTGTAGAGATGAGTCTGCAGATTAATGGCACCTGCAGCTTATGCTTAGCAAGTTTTGCTTTACCAGAGAGAACTCATTTTAATGTTTTGATGAAAAGGCATCACCTGTCCGGATCAAATGCATGGGAAGTGTACAAGGATGTTCCTTCAAACCATTAGGTCCCATATATTTATGTTTTCTAATTTATCATTTGAACAGGCATTTCGAACTGCAAGTATCTACAGCAGAGACTGAAAAAGGTATGTCCCACCAATTTCCTTCTGTTTTGATGGCTGCCTGATGAAATGTTATGGAATGGCACAGCTTGATCTAAAACAACAGCTTCAGAGCAAATAATCACCCAGTTAAATAGCAAAAAAAAAAAAAAATCATTTTGGTGTAAAACCATTCCAAGGTTTTAGGTCTACAAGTCTGTGCTAAACTGAAGCAAAACCATCAGGGGGATAGGGAGTTATCGAACCCAGTGTCCACTGTAGTCTGTGAGCAACATATTGAATGTCCAGTGGGAGAGAAAGCACATCCTGCACACCCCAAAAGTTTACCTGTGGATTGAAGATGCTTTTCACTATTTCCTCGCTGGCTGCCAGTACTGCAGCAACATGGCTCTGTCAATGTACATTGCATTTAATTAATTCCCTTTTCCATTTCCTTCGCAGAATCAAGTAAAATGAAGAAGATCAAGACCATAGTTGAGGAAGTGGTTGATGGCAAGATCGTCTCCTCTGAGGTCAGAGAGTTCGAGGAGAAGATCTAAATGGCAGCAGCAGAGGAGATGCCTCTGAGCTTCCTGGACCTGATGCCAAAACGGAAATACTTATAAAGAATCCCATCTAATTCTCCCTAAACCCCAATAGGGTTGAAAAATGCCAAATTATCAAATCTCAAATAATTTTTGTCGTTGTGGGGGAGCGTTAATAAAAGTCAATAAGTTACAACTTACAAGACTTTGGGTTTACTTACATGGTGACACAGCAGCTTGATTTAAAAAGAGTCTAATCAGCCTGGTATATATGTGTAACTGCTTCCAAGACAGATAAAAACAGCAGTATTAGTTTTTTAAAATGCCTGAAGGCATCAGTTCAGCGCACCTTCTCTGAACACAAACTCCCACTCAAATGTAGTGCAGCTTCACAGAAACCTGATTTTCAAATAAACAAGAAGTGTCAGTTTTCTTTTCATAAAAAATTAATGGGAATAAATAAATCGAAGTAGCCTATTTGATATTTTTGACTCTCTGTGAATGATTATGGCACCAAGGACTACAACAAGCCAAGATTCTTCACCAAGAAGAATCTATTTGAAACAACCCCCACCTCAACCAAACCTTCCTTGGCCAACAACGTTCCCCATCCCACAGGGAGGCCCCTGTGCCACACCTGGATCCTCAGTCCCAGGAGTTTACATTTTCCCCTTGAGAACATAAACACAAAAAGCTCTTCCCTTTGAAACCTCGCCTGTCCGGTGTCATTTACTGAACATAAACAGCTGCCAAAGAATTAATCCTCTGCTCTCCCTGCCCCGAGCCACTGAGACCAGGCTATCAGCTCATTTCCACAGAAAAGCTTTACTTACACCTTTGATCTTCCGCTGCTTTCTGCCCCAAAAGCACCCCTGCCCCTGGGTGCAGAGAAATCAAAAATTAACTCATGTCAGTTGACAAATCCAATGATGTAATTAAGCCAGGATAACCATACCAAAATAACTTCAAAAGAAAAATACCCTGGTTTTGGAAGGGTTCCCGTGCCCAGACCTGCACCCAGAAGCGCTACATTTGATCTTTGGATTTGTATTATAAAAAGCACAAAATACAGAAATCAGACATCTTATTCTGAGATAAGAGAGAACCATTTACCAGAAACGATGGTCAGTTCTCAGCTCTGAAACACAAACTGGGATATGCCACACGCTACAGACTACGTGCACATCACACCGAGGGAGTTCAAAGACAAAAGGGTTAGCACAGAAAACCCAATTCCAAATCCTATTGGGTACGATCCAGTATATTTATGTTTTCCTATTAAGGATCACCCTGAAGCTCCTGAATGCCCCCTGTGCCCTCGGACACCTGATGGTCACTTCTCTTGCATCCTATCAAGCATCCAGGAGCGCTAACCCGACAAAGGCTCCTGCCAGAAGAGCATTATGAAGAGAAAGACATTCCTGCCGTGCACACTGGGAAGCAGGGATCAAAGGGATCGCTCTGCTGACTTAAGCAAACTCCTGTAATAACCGCCCCAAACCCAGGAAGCGCTGAATATGCAACGACAAAACAATTATTTAGGAGGGGATTTGAATGCGAAAAGCACCTTTTGTGCTCCGTTGCACATGGCAGAACAGGATCGTGATGTCTCAGCCCCACCCCACCCACTTCCCCTCACACAAACACCTGGAGGGCACCAGATTTCCACGCCCGTTGGCAATTTCGGTAGGCACGTATCGCTCTGGTTGGTCAGGACGTACTGAACTGACGTCCCCTCTGGAACAGGAGGGAGAGGATGGAAGCTCTCCCCCACAGGAGGTGGGGACTGCTCCTGAAACACCCACTGCTGTCCCCATATAAAGCTGCCCCCGCTCCTGCTCTGCCCTGCTCTCTGGTGCACCCTCAGTGGGGCACACCCGCCCCGCCTCGACCACCATGGCCCTGTCCGTGCGCACCAGCGGCGGCTCCCGGCAGTTCTCCTCTCGGAGCGGACTTCCCGGGGGATCCCTGAGGATGTCCAGTTCTGCTGGTGGAGGGGGCTTTGGTGGCAGTGGGCTGGGGTTTGGCGGGGGGTCCGGAGGAGGTTTCGGTGCTGCTTCCCTGTTGGGTTCGGGCTCGGGTTTCGGTGGGGGCTTTGGAGGCAGCTCAGGTGCAGGATTTGGGAGCGGCTTCAGCAGCGGCTTTGGGGGAGGGTTTGGAGGGGGTTTAGGTGGTAGCTATGCAGGTGGCTTAGGCAGTGCTTTCGGGGGAGGTTTGGGAAGCGGTTTTGGCAGCGGTTCAGGCGCTGGTTTTGGCGGTGGCTTTGGAGGTGGCGCAGGGTCTGGGTTTGGAGGCGGGTATGGCCCTGCTGGTGCTGGGGATGGTGGCCTTCTCTCTGGCTCCAAAAAGGAAACCATGCAGAACCTCAACGACCGTCTGGCTGCGTATCTGGACAAGGTGAGGTCTCTGGAGGACGCCAACACCGAGCTGGAGCGCAAAATCCGTGAGTGGTACGAGAAGAGTGGCCCTGGCACTGGCACCCCTGGATCTGGGAACGACTACAGTAAATTCTATCCTCTCATTGAAGATCTTCGAAACAAGGTATGTCATCCAAAATAAGAAACCAAGAGCACATTTATCCTGCAGAACTGCCCCCTGCAGTGGCCTCTGTCACCTTGCTCGGTGACACCTGCTGAGTTTTTCCTGTGCATTAAAGCAGCTCTGTAGCTGTGTCACACAGTGTGGCTTGTCTGATCTGAATAAAGAGAAGGCAGGGATGGAATCCAGCTCTATAAAACTCTCCTAGATAGCAAAGTTTAAAGCCGTTGCAAAGCTCCTGTGAAGCCTTTGGGCTGTAAAATCGTTCTCTGAATGCTGTTTGTGCTCCAGATCATCAACGCTACCATCGACAACGCGAGGATCATTCTGCAGGTCGATAATGCCAGGCTGGCTGCTGATGACTTCAGGCTGAAGTAAGGAAATCTTAATACAACGAAAACTCTTACTGATATTTTAAGGAAAATCTTCTTTCCTATGAAAAATCTCGTAATAAAATCATTAAGCAATATTACAAGAATTATGTGTATCAGGATTTCATATTAAAAGCTACAATAAAACACATTAATAATTTGCATTTGACCTCGTTAGACACATTAAAAAAAATATTTAATTTCCTATGCACAGATATGAGAATGAAGTGGCTCTTCGGCAGAGTGTGGAGGCCGATATCAACGGTCTGCGCAGAGTCCTGGATGAGCTGACCCTGACCAGGGGAGATCTGGAGTTGCAGATTGAAAGCCTGAATGAGGAACTGGCTTATCTCAAGAAGAATCATGAGGAGGTTTGTTTTTTTCCCCCCATTGTGAATTCATAACAAGGCAGATGGAATTGTGAAACATCAAATTATTCCCCTACTTAAGCCAGTGGGACTTCCTGGGTTTCATTGTTTGTTTTGTTTGCTGTTTATTTCTTTGGGTGAAAGACTGCAAGCAATGTGCACATGAGATCCTTGCTGAAATGGAAGTTATTTCACGTGTATTTCTTTACATACATTTTTGATAGAACCATTTTGCCTTTTATTAACAGAACCTTTCCTTATTTTCAACCTGTCCAGGAGCTTCAGGGCATCCAAAGCAGTGAAATGGGCCAAGTCAGCGTGGAAATGGACGCTGCTCCAGGGACTGACCTGACCAAGCTTCTGAATGACATGAGGGGACAATACGAAGTCATCGCTGAGCAAAACCGTAAAGAGGCCGAGGCGTGGTTCAATGAAAAGGTAACAACCAGAGGGAGCAAACTCAGCAAAATGCGTGTTAAAAAAATGAGTTCAGTGCTTGGAACAGAGAAATTACACCCTGTTCTTCCTTGTCATTTCAGAGCGGGGAGCTGAAAAGGGAGATCTCCACCAATACTGAGCAGCTCCAGTCGGGAAAGAGCGAGATCACGGATTTAAAACGGACCCTGCAGAGCCTGGAAATAGAGCTGCAGTCTCAGCTAGCCATGGTACGTTCTAGGGGAGCTGCTGACTGCTCAGAGCCGATTCAGCAGCTTCAAATACTGATTCCACAGGATTTAGGATTTGCATTTATTTCCTATTAAATCCCTCCTTCCTTTTGTTCCTAAATAGCGCTACGATATCTAACTGGATTGCAGTAATGTCTCTAACCGGGCTGCAAGGAGCACATCACAAAGCAGATGAGCTTTCATGGTCACAGTCAGGGATGTGACAAGGGCCAGTTTTCACCCTGGTATTTCAAGGCGAAAATAAAACCCTCTAAGCAATGCAGCCGTACTCACACCCTTAAACTATTTCAGCTGGTTTCGTCTTTGTAAAGAGGGGTGGGGGTTTTTTCCCCTTAATCAGAGACTATTTAATATCCTCACACAGAAAAAATCCCTGGAAGACACCCTGGCAGAGACAGAAGGCGGTTACTGCACTCAGCTGTCGCAGATGCAGCTGCAGATTGGGAACCTGGAGTCCCAGCTCTTCCAGGTCAGGGCTGACATGGAGCGCCAGAACGCCGAGTACCAGCAGCTCCTGGACATCAAGAGTCGCCTGGAGATGGAGATTGAAACCTACCGGCGCCTGCTGGATGGAGAGTTCGTGTAAGGGGGCCGATTATTTTCTGTAGCAAAATCCCCTCCGGGTAAAAAGAGGTAAAAATAAGCGGAGCCTTCTCCAAGGGACAGTAAGGCACGTACAGTGATCTGAGATAACACTGACTGAGGAGAGAGAGCCATTCTGCTCCGTACTGAAATAATCTCTCCATGCCACCACGAGAGGGGAATTCATCCCAATCCCATCGAACGTCCTGCAACCTCACGTGTCTCTGATTCATTTCCAGGGGCGGAGGACAGGCAGTTACGTTTGAAAGCTCATCCCTGACGGGGTCCAAATCTCAGACACAATCACTGGATTCTTCTCAGGGTAGGTAGAACTTGGTTGATAATGTTTTGTTTCTAAAGTCATCCTTTTAAATAAAATAACGCGTGTTATCCTACATCATACAGCTCATTAGAACCAGAAGCCAATAGGAAAGGAAATGTTGGTTGTGTACACCCTGCTCAGCTTTATCATCTTTAACATGTTGATAAATATTTTTTCTTTTGTTTATGTTTAGACCCAACCAAAACCAGAAAGATCAAGACAATTGTCGAAGAAGTGGTAGATGGAAAAGTTGTCGCATCCCATGTTAAGGAAGTTGAAGAGAAGATATGAGGCACAACCTGATGTGGCAAAGGATCCATTCGCTCCAAGCTGAAACGGATAAATAATTTTATTCCTTTGTATGAAGTGATGAAGCGTTGGCTTTGTACCAAGATACTCTTACATCAGTCAAAGTCGGCACTTCCACTCCTAGCATCATGCAATGTATTTCCCGTTTCACTCTATCAGCATTACCTGTATGATTTCCAGTGTTCTTTAAACATACCATCAATTCTGTGTTCAATAACCAGAAATACAGAGTGCACATCTAATCAGATCTGCTTTTTTATAATCTTTAGTAATCAACAGATAAAATAATTTTGCTGTTCTAACCTCATTTTCCAGTTTTCTTGACTAATAAAAAGGACTCTACAAGCTTTAAGGTATCAGTGTCCCTTCATTCTCCATGAAGCCCCTCCAGTTCAATGAGCCCCAGGAGTCTGCAACCACCACAGCACATTACCTGCATCACAGATACAAACAAGCCCTGCCCAGTGCCTGAACTACAAACTAAAATCCAACAACAGAATGTGGACACTGAAAGCAGCTAGAATTCAGAATTCCATAAATCCTAGGAAAGACACGACTGATTGCACCTGCCTACCTTTAGCCTTTGTGGATCTCGTGGCCAGGTGCTCCCCTTACACCTGGGAAAAAAAGAGGGAAAATAAAGCTTTATTTCATACTGTCCTAAGGACAACATCTTGTGTTTGTTTGTTGGATTCCTTATGGTTTTCTTACGTGACTGTCCTTGTCCCACCAGTGACAAACACGGCCATTATTTTGGGTTTAGAACTACACAGAATGAGGATAATTAAGACACTTGTGGAAAGTGTCTGGACAACAAAACCTTCCCATCTCAGTCCGGGTCAGTTGGAAGACAGACAGCTAAGGAAAATAAAATCCAAACACAGGACCCTTTCACACATGCTGGCGGACAGAGCCAAGAACAGGGATGCCTCATGCACACCAGGAGACTTTTAATTGGTACAATGCTTCAACTTCTGAAAAGACGAGCGTCTTGTAAAAGTTTACTGCCTGTTTTACCATTTCACTGAGGCTTTGCCTCGCTGATTCCCAAATACCTTCAGGGATGGAAATTCTGTGCCAATCCCAGCAGTGGTGGAGGCACCTGCCAGCGGCACTGCCAGCAACCCAGCTGTGCTGATGGGAGGCTCTGCCCTTCCCTGCCCCCTGCCAGCGCACCTCGCGCTGGGCAGCTGCAATTTCGTCCTTCGCTGTGGATGTCTCACCCTCCCATTTCCGAGCCTATAACCCCCCCACAGCTACACGGAAACAAAAACAGAAAGCCATCGACCGATACGCTCATTTCGGGGCCTAATTTAGGAATCGCTGTTTCGGCTGCATCCTTTGCCGTATCAAGCTGCAGCCTGGCGGGCTCTGAACCCCCGCATCGGTCCCCAGAATTGGCCGCTGCCGCTTTAACGGCCCCGCGGCCGCATCCCCGCCGGCAGCGGGTCGGGAGCCGGGGAGGATGGGAGGAGGAGGAGGAGGAGGACGACGAGGAGGAGGAGGAGGAGGAGGAGGAGGAGGAGGAGGAGGATGGAGCCGGCCCGGCTCCGCCGAGAGATCAGGGCAAAGTATGAATCGCACATCACCCGAAATCAGATAAAGACCGTCAGCTCAGCAAGGACGCAGGTAATGCCTCCTCACAGCCACACACCTTGCGGCGTACGGAGCCATTCCCCTGGCCGTACAGTTCCTCCCGCAGCCTCTGTGAGGTACAGTAATTCCTTTCAATGCAGCAGATTTTTCGGGGAAGGGATCCGGATTTTACCGCAGTAAGATGCGAACGAGAAGATTCGGCAGCAGGTTTTGCTTAGGGTGTGGATTCGCAGGGAACGAATGCTGTGTAATCCATCGGGATGCCTTTCTGTCCCTGCAGCAGGGCTATTGCTGGGATTTAAGGGATGATGACATAGGCTTTAACATGGTAACCTCTACCTCCACATAGTTATCCCAGAGGAAAAGAGAGTCCTGAAGAGGATCCATTTATATACAGCAAGCTTTGTCATTTTTAGCACCTCTAGTAAAGAAAACTGTACCTTTGCAGGAACTATTTTATGTTGCTCACAGTAAAACTGTGCTGGGCTCTTCAGCAAATATGTTGTTCTCTCATACAGCCCAGCTGAATGTTACCAACACACAGTGCTGCTGTTGGGGATTTAGATATACAAACAGCCCTAAACCCAACAGAAACCAAATGGCAGAACGACGCTGGGCCATAAAACATGAAGAAATTCCGGGGGGGAATCAGGCGTTGTGTCCCCTCGCAGCCCGGTGTTGCAGGAATCCTGGAGGTTTGTGCTAAGGGCAGGCCAGATCTGCTGCAGCCTGGCTGATCCACCAGCAGCGCCGGGCACGGGGCAGCTGCACCCCCGAGAGGGAAGGCAAGTTTATCCTGGTGTTGGCACCAAGCAGCCAGTGCACATTGGCTTGGTCCTGTCACACAAATTCTGCAGCAACCTGGTTAGAACGGGGAAGCAAAGAGCACTGGGGGTTCACTTGTGGATGAGCCAAACACAGGTTTTTCACCAGAACGATGGCGTGGTAAAATCACAGTATGTCAGTATGCACGGGGGGGGGGGGGGAAGGGGAAGAACTTATTTTCCTTGGCTCATAAGACCTGAGTTAGAGAGTTTCTTTTCTTAGAATGGATGTCATCATGAGAAGCTGCACAAAGCAGTAAAATATGCAAAAGAGCAGGTGCTGTTCAAGGGTTTATGGCATCTTCACCACCTGCAGGGAAACTCAGAATCGAAAGTGAAAAAGAGCTTCCATAAGCCAATCAACCATTCTGGAAGTTACGTGCAGGACCATACTATCAAATCAAAGATGAGCCCAAATCTAAAATGACCCCACACGTGCTCAGGACTGGCTTAAAAAACCCTACTTTTAATAGAATAAAAGAGGAAAAAAAAATACATTAAACCCAGATCACCCTATTCATACCTGGAAACTTGAACTGCCTGCACTTCCTCTAAGCTCCGAAGGTGAGTAAGGTCTCAGTAAAACTGGGTAATTTGTATGGGAATTCCAGGGACAGAGATGTTCCCATCAAACACAGTTTACCCTCTACACAGCACAGAAAATACAAACTCTTCACTTAGAACTTCTGCACATTTATACAATTCTAACAAAAATTCCATTATGCCTACCTGTTTTCATGATTCGAATATTTTTAATACCGTTACCTTTTGCATGTCCCCTGCAGGCAGAAGAAGGTGCAAGTAAAAGAATGGACAAAGATGCAGAAGCACTAAAGGCAGCCAGAGCAGAACTGTGCGAGGCCAGACGGCAGTGGCACCACATGCAGATCGAAATCGAGTCTCTCCATGCCGTGGTAAGAGCCAGAAATGAGACTCGAAATCTCCTGGAAAAAAAAAAAAAAAAAAAAAGAAATATCATCCTTGATGTAAATTATCCCACAGTCAGTTTCAGTGACAGTCACAGCCACCACACAGCAGAAAGGCTGCACACAGGAACAGCTGGGGGGGCTCCAGCTCCTCACAGAACCCAGCTCACGTTCTGGTGCAGGATCTGCCACTCAACACACACATGTTGTCCTGTTTCCACACCTGACAAACATATATTTGCATGATGTTCCCTCACCAAGCTCCTGGTCGCTCTGCCCAACCAATCCACAGCAGGTTTATAACTCCCACTGAGCGTCTGGGCCAAAGTTATCAATTCATTCATGATAAAATAATGCCATAAAATAAATTCAGCAGTTTGCTGATTCTGGTGCTACAGAAAAGCTCCAGGAACACACAGTCAGTGTTCATACAATACTGAGATGAACGTTGTCTAACTGCACAGGTAAAATCAGAGATCTGTAAACTCAAGGCAGTGGATTGCTGTGCAAGAGGGGGGGATACAGTTTCATCCTGGTTTAAATTATCCCAGATTTCACTTAAAAATTTCTCAGTCAAAGTATTACCTTGAAAGTTTTCCTCCTATTTTTTAATGAATCTCAAAAGAACTGGTGTAACAATACACAGTTTGTTAATGGAACCATGTATAACATCTTTATGAGCATGCTTTCCCAAACCTTAAAAGACGAGTTAAATTTCCCAGGAAAAGGGTTTGGAACGTTCGTTGCGGGCCACGGAGCAGCAGTACCACATGCAGCTACAGAATTTAGAAGGTGAGATTGAATGTTTGGAGAAAGAGCTGCTGGAAGTGAGAAGGGGAATTGAGAAACAGCTTCGAGAGCACGAAATTCTCCTGAACACGAGGATGAAGCTGGAGGAGGAGATAGCGACGTACCGCAGTCTGCTGGAGCAAGAAGAGAGCAGGTACCCACAGCGGAGAGAAAAAGCTCTTAAATGCATCTCCCACTTCTGAGAGCCTCGTTTAAACGCTCAGCATCGTAAATGCATGGAGCAATCATTAAAAAATTAAAGTATAAAATGCCTAGAAATGGCACCAGGGTGTAAGAAAGCTTTGCTGATTGCACCGTTTGTGGACAATCACTGCACCCAGCGTGCCACAGCTGTTCATGGGACAAGTTTGGGATGAAAGCCATTCAGCGTTACTGGAAGCCTGGTAATCATTTCTGGTTTTTGCAGGTTCCGTTGCTCGATACCTGCCCAGAAGGACGACAAAAAGCCCAGCACCAGCAAGATCACCTTTATGCTGCCTCCAGGTGAGCTTCAGACTCACCTTCTCCTTGGGGGATTTTGGCCCCAAAGGAGATTCACAGCTACAGACAAATTCTTGGATATTATAAAAGTACACCTCCTGGCCCTTGTCCTGCCTGTGCCCTTCTGCAGGCTTAGTGTACCTGCATTTTCTCTTACAGATGGTGTAAAGAAGCACGAGCCAGAGAAGGTGGAACTGATGACAAAACAAGCCATCCTAGACGGAAACATCATGAAGGAAAGTGCTGAAGCTCATGGCACTGTACAGTAAGATAAACAGGAGTTTCACAAAATAAGAGTTGGAAGTAAACAGAGGGGGTTCTGTTCCAGCAGCTCTGAGGTTCCGTTATTTGGTGCCTGTTTTACCACACCCACAGAGCCCAGGAGCTCCAGAACTGCAGAGGCAGCTCCTGAAGGTGCCCTGAATGGCAGGGCTTAACAATACATTGCATTTGAAAGCCCTTTTTATTAGCATTGCCTTCGTAAGCAAATAATACCAGGATGGGGCTCCTGATTTGTAATTTCTATTTCTGTTAAGAATGAAACCATGAATAATTCATCTCGCTAAGGCTGAAAGCAAAGAGCCCAGACCACGTTTGGGAAGTCCCTCTGGGGCCTATTTATGCACATAAATTCAGGCTCAGCTGCTCCAACTTGCTCCTTGGAAACTCCTACGTTTCCCCAAACAGGGGAGGGAGAACCTGGCTCCCAAGTAGGCATGTGAAAGTCTGTTAGGATGTGTTATTCACCTGAAATTACTTTAATCGTACTGGATCGTCTCATTTTACTTTTTTTTCTGCTGCTCTTTAAGCTTTTTTGTAGACTAATTTAAGGCTACCTTTAAACACACTGAAGTGGACCACATCCCTGGCACTGAACTGGAACTGGTGGCTGAAATAGTGGAGGAATTCGGATTAAAAATTACCACCATCACCAGGTCCACTGTACCACACCACACACCTGACATGTATTCTCAGACATGAGCTTGGTTGGTCACACAAAGTCACTCACAGAGCCATTTAACTCAGCTGGGCGAGGCCTCAGAGCCCCAACTGTCTGATCTGGGTCCTGACACACACGAGGAGAATTAAATCAGCAGGATTTGGGTCCCTAAATATTCCTGAATCAGCTGGCTTTTCCCCTGTTTTTCTCCTGCCCTTTTTTTCCTCTTTAATGTAATGTAGCTCTACGTTCTGAGGTTTGGACCTGAACTAGATTTTCTCCTCCCTATGCTGAAGGCTTTCAGATGCAGGAATTCTGGCCTGCCCACTACAGCACTGAGACTTCTTGCAGGGTTTTTGAGCCGGGATTCCAAACTTTCTCCTTGGAAACAAATTGCCTGGTGTGTTTGGAGCAGTGGTTTTGTAGCCATGTCTACCTAAAAGTACAAAAAGAAGAATACAGTGAACCCTCACCCTTTATTTAGCTGTTCTGGAGAATGAACCTGTGAAAAAAAAAGGAAACTTGGAGTGTATTAGTGCTATCTAAAATAACCCGACACTTTATTATGCAATTTCTCCCTGTTTTAAAAGCAGTCCTGAAAACAGGTAACTCGCACTGCCCGAAAAAATCATAAATACATCTGCTTTATTGTTTCAGGACAGAAAAAGTGGATGAAGTCATCAAGGAATGGGAAGGCTCTTTCTTTAAGGACAACCCTCGCTTAAGGAAAAAGTCCGTCTCCCTGCGTTTCGACCTCCACCTGGCAGCCACGGACGAGGGGTGCCTGCACACCAAAAAGAAAACCCTCCCCGACATCGAGGTCAGGCTGGTGATGAGGAGATCCTGCAGCATCCCCTCCATCAAACCTTAACCCCCAGCCCGTTCCCCCCCGGAGAGCATCCCCACCAGGCTCTGGGAGCAAACTGCAGATGGACTCGCACAGCCGCTGTCTGCTACAACCACACCTTACCGGGCACGTGGAGCCGCTCGATAAAACCATACAAGTCCTCTAAAAAAAAAAAGAAAAACCAGGGAGAAGAGCAAGGCAGTTCAGATTCCAAGAAACCCGACTTCTACTGGTTTTATACTCTGGGTGCAGCCCTTTCATTTCCTCATGGTTGTTGTTTTTTTTGTAGAATTTCACCAAATACGACGAAATTTAAACGAGGACTTTATGGTTTGACGCGTTCTGCTTTTGTAAAGGAGAACTTGTCTTCTCTTTCTGGAAATGAGAAATGCGTATTTCACTCTCTTACATATTCAATATTGCATATATATAATGACTGGGGAATCCTTGCAATAATTTATATCACATCTGTCATAATTCTAGAAATATCTTTTAAAATAATTCTTTTTAACAGCGAAACTTACATAGAAAGATGCTCTTAAAACACATGAACTACTAACAATTTTCTTTTAAAAGTGGCTGGTATTTTTAAATTCATTTTTTTAGGCAACAACTGAGCAAGAATGTCTTTCCCTTGCATCCTTATACACCCATTTTTCCAAGTGTTATTACAATCCAGTAACACTTTAGCTGTGCCATTCCCCTGGTTTTGAAGCAGTGATTTCCCCCTGAAAAAAATCGATCATTCTCTTATGTGTCTGCACACACCTGTCCTACAACTCTCTTAGCCAGGGCAAGTGAAATCACCCTCTAATTGTTCGAATGTGAGGAGTCAACCAAGCATTTTACCGCCGGTATTCCGGTAATTTTGTTTATTGTAACAGTGCGCGTTAACATATCTTCAACAAACTCCTCTTCTGAGAAACATTAGGGGACTCTCTCCATCCGTTGCAAGTTACTGTTACACCAGGGTACAACTGTTATTCCTTCAAATTAACTGGGCAAAACAAGGGCTACAAATTCAAAATCCAAGTCAAGCAGACCCCTTAGGGACCCCCCCCCCCCCCAAGTCCTGCTCGGAGCAGCCGCGGGCAAACACAGAGCCATCCCTCCTCCTTTGTAACCTCATGGGACAATCAAAGACTCAAACCAGACTGTAACCAGGACAAGAACGATTGTTTGTGAGGATTCCGTCGAGGATCTGATCCCAGCTCCCACCGGGACTGCAGAGCTCTGGAAACCCCCCCGTGCTCCGGCTTTGCCTGATCCCGGCAGCGCGTAAAGGATCGATTTCAGCGTCGGAATCTGCCTTATTACCCGTGGCATGTGCACAAAAACTGGCCCTACAGATTCCTTCGGAGTTCATTTACGCTTCTGTCATTTGTTCAGGGTAACAATGCGTCGATATTGCCCCGTCCTGTCTGTACTGTATCAAGCTGGCTAATTATCCCTAACCTGAATCCCTGAGCTGGTGTTGTTACCTCTTGAGTACTTGGCATCCTGAATGTATCAGCCTGCTCCAGTATTTCCACTATGCAGCTTTTTTTGTTTGTTTGTTTGTTTGTTTTTTTGGGGGGGCTTAGACTCTGTACATTTTACGATACTTGAATCTAAACTAAGTTTTAATTGCTTTAAGGCACTTTAAACAGGGATACCAACTTACCAAAGTAAATTGTAGTACTACAATAAAAAAGGTATTAAAAATGGAGTTTGCCCGTGCCTATTTTGTGTGTGCCAATGTGTGCATATTAAAAGGAAAGGAGGGAAAGAGAAATGCACAAGAAAAGCTGTAGATAGGAAAATCTGTAGCACCATAATCAAGTGTTTCTAAGGTCTCCTCTGCAATTAGAAACACACAAATTCCCTCAGAATCTTTACCATAACATGTGTTTCCTGCGTTTTCTCCCCTTTCAGTACATATCTATCTGTTGCATTATTTACAAATTCCATCCTATGGAAACAACTTACTCATTTGTTCATAAACTAGTTGAATTTCCATGAGTGTGAACTCCACGTGGGCATCAAAACTGCAATACAACAGCATCTCTCAGCCTCATTTTAAGTCATTTTAAAGCTGAATTAAAAAAATATAACGCTGAAAAGCTTGGTATTATGGCACAGAACTCTTCATTTCTGTGCTGCTAATTAAATACAGACCAGCCGAGCCTCTGCCAATGAGCAGCTGCAAAGAGCTGACGTTAAAAATGAGTTTCATTGTCTCAACCTACTTCCCACTGAATGTCTGTCCTCATTCCAGAGCTGGTAATTAAAACAGTTGGGTAAGAATAAGTTTTTACATCATCCCCCCCCCAAAGTGAGCACAGTGCAGAATAAACAGTTCCTTTAAATCGGTAAAACTACTCACACACCGTACAGGACATTAAAAAGTGTCCACAGGCAAACCCTTTACTACCACAACATGGAACTGAGGCAAAGAGCACAGAAAAAAAGAGGAATAAAACAAAGCGAGGAACACATCAGTGGCTTTGAAAACATGTAATTGTTCAGAACTATTAGCATGGAATGTGTCAGTAAATGAACACCAGAATAAATATTTCGGTAAGCCGTGGAAATTTATAACAACGTTAAATGACGTTTACACTATCAACAAAACTATTATTAATAAACTAGAGGTGAATTAATGAAACCAGGGGGAAAACCAGGTTATTTTTCACTTCTTAACTAATATTTTCTCCCCTTTTCTTTACAAACATTCTGCCCCGGTGAAGGCGGTGGACTAGAGTGGCTTGCTGAGGGTATGTGGCTGATATGTGGCTGGCTGAGGAACCTTTTCAATTCCGACTTTCAAACTGAAGTCACAGATTATTGTGCTGGCATGTCAATAACTGTCCATTGTGGGCACAGATGGCGTGGGCTGAGCAGAGGAGGGCAGAGCCCTTGGCCTCTATTTGTTCGTAAAAATAAGTTTATTTAAGAATGAAAGCAAAGTGGCCTAACGCAACCGTAGGCATCAAGAGAAAACGGCCCCAACTTGAAGCAACGTGGCTTCATGTTGAATTAGTTTTAATTCTTTTCACCTTCTACCACCCTTTGGGATTAGGCAGGTACCATCCCCTTGGCTTCCCTTCAAATCCACCTTCATAATCCTCCTTCGTGAATGTCCGGAAATGTATCTTACTGGCCGGGTGAGAGCGTTTCAATGACAAACCTTAAATTCCAATCTCAAATCTTTCCATCTCAAAGCCAAACTTTCAACACCAAACTTTCGGGTTTCACCGCCGGAGTTGTGCTATTTCATTCAGTCACTCGGACCATTTCTGCTCCAAAGAGGCTCCTTGTGCTGAGTGCTGAGTTCTGAATCCTCCTCACCCCCTCAGAGCCACATTGTTCACTATTTGTTATTTCTGGGGGGTTTTTTATCTCTGTGTGTGGTACTTTGGCTGATTTCTGCAAGGGACTGTGGGCAATTCCACCGCTCCGCTGGGTAGTTCACAACCCTGTGCGACTCACGAGCGGACTACTTGGAGCTGGCCGCGCTGATTTAGTCCACAATCACCGTGTATATTACGTATTTATATCGGGAGCCCCCCCCCCCCGTGACTCCCCCTCGCCCCCTGAGGCGGCGCCGGTCATGGCGGGCGGGGCCGCCCCACGCGCGGAGCACCCCGATGTGGCACCCGCAGATTCGCCACGGCTTCCCTCCCTCCCTCCCTCCCTCCCTCCCTCCTTCCCGCCGCCCGGGAGGGCACAGAGAGGGCTCAGCTCCTCTCGGAGGGCTCTGGTGGGAGCAGGGCAGCCGAGGCGGCCCCGCCGTTGTGGGAGTGGGGCTGGAGGGGAGAGGATTCCCCCGGCCGGGGGTTGTGTCGAAAGTGCGGAGCGCAGCGCGCGCAGGCGCCGCCGCCGCCCCGGGCCGGGGGAACAAAGGGAGCGCGGCCGCGGGTGAGTCCCGGGTGGGTTCGGTCGGGCCGAGCCGGGCTCTGGTGGGTGAAACGGGGGCACTCCCGGGGGTGAAACGGAG